AAGCCAGGTCTGGGCGCCTAAATTCAGTAAGGCACTGATAAAACTAAATTTCAGATATGAGAAGGGAAAAATGAAGAGACGGGAAATGGTGAAGATACCAGCCTGTGGGGCTGCCGAGGATGTAGACATACTGAACGGGCGCAGACCTTCCCCTGTTCACTGGATAAACTGGAAGGGAACAGCAAAGGACATATTCTCCCGATCTTTTATCTCTGGAACCTCCACATCCGACTTTTTGCGTTTTAAAGGGCTTGGGCTATTGATATTTAAATTTGCCCCCCCCGCCCCCCAGGATAACCTCGTTTGTTCAAATATACCAATAAAACCTTATCATAAAATAGCAAAATATTAGAAACACATTGGAGCATAAAAATACGCGTTTTTCGGGATAAATGATAAATGTGACAGTAATTTAAAGTCCCCTAGCAGGCGCTCATCGCGACAGAAAGCCTGGTTGTTGTCGCGGTTTTTCCCCAGCGTCATGCCCGCACCGCATCCCCGCAACGCCGCGCCGGGTGCGTGAGACACCCAGGGCCCCGCAGAGGCAGACAAACGGGAAAGCGGTCAGAGGCACCAGACCGTCCGCCCGCCCGAGGAAAGGGACAGGGAGACAGGACAGAGGAAAAGGGTAACAGCGGAAAACGGCAGAAAAACTGATCGAGTTCAAATTTCAGGTAGTTTATGATCTCAAATGACAAGTACAGATTTAGTTAAGTCATTTAATTATTTTTAACAGTCTGCTTCATGTTTAACCTACAAGTAAATAACTTACTAGAAAAGGGACCGCAAATAGAAATCCGTACCTACCTCGACATAGGCGGCCAAATCCTGGGCTGTGATGCAGAGAGCAAGGACGCACAGGACTGGAAGCGAACCCATCTTTGCACCGCTTTCCGAGGTATAATAAAGCACCGATCCCCGGCGTGTCTCTAAAAGTAAAACATCCAACGGGGGGGGGAGAGAGGCGGCGCTGAAGCGGCTGCGCTGAATTACGAGGACTTTAAAGGCGGAGCCGCCTCCTCCGGGTGCGCTCCCACCGCCCGACTGCGCCTCCAGCTGCCCAGTAAAAGGCTCAGCGGAAACAGAGCAGTGATGCAGGCATCCAGAAATCACGCCCATTTCTGCGGTCCTGCGGGTGTCTGGCGTATAGAGGGGGGGAGGGTCCTCGTCGTGATCGGGGTTTTAGCTCCTCACGGGTCTCCTCTGAGTGATCCTCATGCATGTACGTACCCAGACCGCCCTGCCTTATATGGTCCGGCTGCACTCCCACAACATTTGTATATAGAATTTTAGATCTCAATATCTTATTTGTGCTAATACAAGGACAATTTCTGTTTACGAGAAATTTATGAGATTTTTCTTCTTAGATATTCTTATTGGTGTCTAGGGTACTTGGGTAATTGGCATTTATTTTACCTCAGCCCAGATGACTCTTCATTTCACGTTTTATTAATTTCCACAATTTATAAATGTAATTGGGTCTAATGTTTGTGAGTTGCAAAACGTGTCCTAAGGATTAGCAGTGCTTGGATTCAACATATAAAATGTTTAATCTGGTCACAGTCAAACTTTAAAAAATCCAATCATATCTCGTCATTCTCTAAACGATATGCTTTAGAGATATGTTAATTTTCCCAAAATCTTCAGCAGTTGTACCAAGACAGCTCTGAAAATATTACACCACTCTCAGAAAAAGTTTAAAAACTTGTACCTTTGCTTGTCACTAGGGTTGTACCTTTGTAATTGTACCTTTTAAGGTACAGAAATGAACTCTGAGGAACATCCCAAAGGTACAAACAGCATTAACGTACCATCAGTGGTAGAGAAATGTTCATCAGAGTCCATTTCTGTACCTTAAAAGATATCATTACCTACAGCTAAGGGTACAATTGAGGGTACCTTCCCAGTGACAAGCAAAAGTAGAAATTCTTACCCTTTTCTCTGACAGTGACTGCCACAGTGCCAGAGGCTTGGCACAGGACCTGTGTGAGGTGGAACTAGGGATGGGAAGTGGTAGGATTTTATTCACTCCAATGCCATTATTGATTAAGCTTATTGATCGGGTTCTTTATCGATTACCTTATCGATTTCTTACCCAAATTTCTATGAGGAAAGAATTACAGCTACACAGGTTTTCAGCGTCAATACAACTGCTTTATTATCTGACATTTGAAACAGAATACTGCCTGCAGGTCAGTGACTTCAGTGCAATAAGACCAGCAGCTACACAACTGTGACCAGCATGTCTGAGTCTGTCTGCTGCTCCATCACTGCATGTTAAATTATAATACAGCGTTTCTTAAACTGTCTTAAAACAACTTGGAAAAAATACTGACAACTCTGCTTCTTCCTCTCTGCCATGATGACTCCTTTTTTATGGAAACAGACGCATGTGTATGAAGTAAATTTACAATCAATGAGCACCTGCCGGCATCGATAAAGGAATCAGAGGCGCACAATTCCCATGCTTTGGAAAATTTGGAACCGGTCCTCAAGTGGCACTGGTTCTTAGTTCCCATCCCTAGGTGTAACTGGACCATTTGGGACTGAGAAGATGAGCAGATAGGAGTAATGGAACCCACAGCTAAGTAAAGAAACAGCCAAGATGCTCAGCATGCGCCATCCAAAAGATGAGGCAAACCGTGTTAGACCGTCAGTCCTTAATCATTTTATATCTTCAACAGTTTACAGTTTCCCCAGGTGAATACTACAGATTACAAACACAAGACAGATATGTCGTTCATGTCTGATCTGCTGGTTTGCAGCGCCGTGGCTGGGGACTGTAAAAGATCTGTGAAGAGACATTTGCTTCAGAATGACAGCCAGTTTTCAGACGGTTGGAGGCAGTTGCTACGGCGTCATTACTGTCTCATAGACGCCTACAGGCAGAAGGATAAGAATAGATGCAGCATGTACACATCTTCCTCATGTATCTTCCTCATAAACGCAGTCATGTTATTTGCCGTAACTATTAAAAAGACATGCCATCCACAGCCCATTTTACAATGAATAGCTACTATATAACAAAAGTCGTACTATTTGCTGTTACATTGCCCATTTAACCGTGACCATGTATAGTAATTTAATGAAGAGAAACTTACTGTGAATGCATGTATTAGTGTTTCAACTCACTGGGTTATTTTTTTGGGGAGGGGGGGGGGGCATTTAATGCTTGTATAGCTACCTCATCCCTGATGTTTTTGCCGATCAAGTTACTTTGTTGGGGTAAAAGATTTCTCAGAATTGAAGGGGGTCAAGCAGCCGCCAGGCTGTGAAGTACAGGCAGAAAGTGCTTTGATTATAACTTCATGATGTCGTGTGCTGTGATTGACATGGAGACGTGCGACTTTCGACATAATGCTGAAACCATGCCTGTTCGGCATGCCCATCACCGTGGGAGCAACAGAGTGATGACGTGGCAAGCAGACAAATGTTCTGGAACGTTCCCCAAGCTTTCTGATACAGTTTTAATATCGGTACAGGATCTATTGAACATAATGAAGAATCAAGTCCAGTACAAACGTATGAATACTGATCTTCAGTCATGTTGTCAGTTCTTAGCGTATAACATGCCCATCCTTATAACAGTCATACTTCTGTGTTGTAGAGCTGATGACTTGTCTGAATACTGAATATTTGTTCTGTGCAGACTCTCACTTTTCAGCTTCTGCTGTTGCTCGTGTCGGGTTCGGAGCAGGAGTCCGCCATTAAGAGGAAGGCCTGAGCTCTAGGGTGAAAGGTGACACGACTGTGAAATATCCAGATCGCTCAGGTAAATGTGTGTCAAACATACACAAATTCTGTAGCAAATGAGTGGATAAGATCTCCCTTCAGTCAAGGTGCCCGCATCCATATGTTGAAGCACCAGATGTATAAATGCCTCGTTTATGCACAGGTTGGTAGTGCTTGAGACCAAATAACCACTATAAACTCTAAAAACTGAAAAATATCAAGCACATTGCATGTTTTCACAAGAGCTTTTCCCCAGCAGCAATCAGGTTAGTTGCTATGGACACCCACCCATCCAATGCCAGTCAAACTTGACTCAAGACTCTTAAAACACCCACCACCCCAAACTATATCTATTTTATTGTTGAAATATAATTATTAAATGATTATTTTCAATGGTAAAAAACGGAATGCAACTTTCTATGTGTCATAGTCTCGCCGTTTCAAAATCTGGACTGTGGGAACCATGCAATAATTCCAGTAAACTTGTATTTATGTACCTCTGCAAATGGCTAATTAAGTATCAGGGAATAAATATTCATTACAAATCAAAACCAGACCTGGTAAAGCTGTAAAACTATCAACCTCACCAAGCCTGAACTTCATGTTACTCGCTCCCCAAACTTACTACACCACACATAATCTAGAGGGGTGAAGTTGTATAAAATAGTACTAATTCGCTCGTTTGGCAGCACACACTCGAGATGGTAACCTGTTAGAAAATATACTGAAATTCATAAATAAATCCGAATTGCAGTTCATTTTAATAAATGTCAGCAAATTTCCATATTGTCATAAAACCCACATATATAATTTCTAAGTATTGGGCGCGCTCAGTTGGACAAAATGATGAAAACCTACATAGCAAGTGCAAAACAAGTTCCATTAGAAATAGAATAACATCGTATAGGCACCATACTCAATGAGGTATTTTTAAAAAATCCTATTGGATGACTGAACTGATTTTTCCTATTGGCTAAAGCATAAAACGACGGGACGTTGTGATTGGTCCTTTCGTGGAAAGCGAGCTAGCGGCATATTTTTTAAAATGACAAACTAAACTTGTGTTTAAAATGACAGAGACACAAAAACACAACAACGCACAGCGACGCGCCGGCGGAACCATATGTACGACCAAGTTCGCTCTTTGCTTCCGAATCGGTTCGTCAATTTGTTTTTTACCCTTTGCCGTCCGTCGCCAATCGACGCGCACATTCCCCCCTGTTGCCAGGCAGATTATGTTAATATATGCAATGCGGCCATCTCTGCAGCTACCATTCTGAGGTAAGGTCTACTTGTGCGTTTTCATTAAAATCGTCAAAAATCGAGGGCGCCGTCGCGCCAAACCCAAAGTTTCGCCGCCAAGGCTCGCCATTGTAAGTATCTATTTCATAGTGGTGGACGGCCCGCGTTTCTCTCTCGGTAATAATGTGCGCGTTTTCGCGGGTCCGTTCATCCGTGGTCGTTGTTGTTTTAGTCCCACCCAAAATGGAGGAGCCTCCTTCCTCGTTCTGCGGCAGAATCAGGGCTGGGCTCAACTATGGCGGGGGGACGGGTGGGTCTGTTCCAAATATTCGGGGCTCGCAGAGAATTCGGACGTCCGTATCGACGAGGTGTCGCCGTGCGACCCCCTCCCGCTAGGCCCCGGCCGGTAGGTACTCGGGGCCGGCGTGGCATAAGCTCTGCGCTCGGTGCCGTGGGCTTTGTGCGGCGCCCGGCTCCCGGGTTTCCGCGGCTCCGCTTTTTGTGGTATGGTCCGGTTGGAACTCAGAACCTGAGGGGTCAGAGCAGGGGGGGCGCCGGCTGATAAATCCGCCGTCGCCCCGGTTTGTGCTCAAAACTCGGCCGATGTGCACTCTTTGCCTCCTGTGCGCTGTATCCCCGCGGCCGAGTGCGTTGGAGCGCCGCTCCCCCCGGCCGCTCGCCGGCTGCCTCCCCCAGTCTGCATCTTTCGTACCCCCACGCTGCGAGTAGACTGACCGCTCCGGGCGACGGCGGGCGAGCCGGCTGCCTGTCTGCCTCGTCGCCGGGCCGGCCGGTCTGCGCACGCCGGGCTCTTGTGGCTTTTAACCAGAATCACGGTTACCTGTCAGCTAGTGCTAATCGGCTATTTTGTTAGCCTAGCGGTGTGTAGTGTTAATTTTACATCAATAATGAAAAAGTCCCACAGCCGCCCATTCAGCTGAGGTTTCTGAGTGAACTGTTACCAAATAAATACAAGGCACGATAGTAACAGGTCAAATAAAGCATGCGATCTAATCATTTAATATAATAAACACCAGTTTAAATCAGTAATGACATAGGATCGTACCCCAAGAAGATGTGATGACTTTATATTCCTTTAAGCCCTTCTGTTTTCCCACAACATATCACATTGTAAGAGGTGTTTGTGGCTTTTATTAAAGTCACAACTGCTTGACTGTAATTTTTCTGTGTGAACTGATGTTTGGATGAAAGGATCAGGTCCAGTTAGAAGAGGTGGACCTTCAGCCTTCTGACCTGGCTTCCCCCCCTCCCTGTTTAGCGAGCCCCTGGATTCCCGCCAGCTGCAGGTGTGGCGTGAACGGCTGAGGAGGCTTTAGGAACCCTTTCCGAGGGGAGGAGTAGGGTGGCTCTTATGGAGACCAAGCAAGAGGCATCCCCTGCGTGGAACCAGGGTGCCAGCAGCGAGCCTGGCAGTGCCACGCAGGTTTGTGCCCTGTCTTACTGAACGTCTGAGAGGGGGCAGCGAGTCGCTGGGCCCCTGGCCACTCCAGACACCCCCTCCGACTTGGCATTTTGGTGAAAGTTTGGAGTATGTTGGGATCCTGGTGCTGGGGGACGCGATGGAGCTTGCGTGCTCCTCGCTGAGCTGAATGTTCCTTGGAATCCTCGAGCATAGGCCGTGCCATTGCTCTAGGTCGGTGCCACTGAGTGGCTTTGTGCTGGGTTGTTCCAGGTGCACTTTGAGGCCGGTGCCGTGGCCCAGATCGTATACAGCGGCGAGCAATCGGAACGCGGGCAGCAGCAGGTAGTCTATGCGGCTGACGGCACGTCCTACGCTGCGGTGGAGCCGTCGGAGCACACGTTGGTCTATATCCACCCGGCTGACGGCACACAGGTGAGTCCCGGTGGGCGGGCTGTGACTGTTTTGCCTTTGGTGCCGTTGCTGACTGTCTCACGCCTTCTCTTACAGGCTGTTTTTGCTGACCAGCCCCAAGTGGCGTACATACAGCAGGATGGAACCACCCAACAGGTAAGCAGTTCCACCCAGGGCTGGGCCAGCAAACTGCATTTCAAGACAACATGCTAACAAAGCCATTGTCCCCGGCTCAGGTGACAGTGTTGCTGCCCAGCGGGCAGAATATGAACACCGCCAACCTGCATGTTCTGAGTAACGTTGCGGAGGCACCCTCTGCTATTCTGGAGCCTGTGTCTCAGGTAAGAACAGTGCCCCCAACAGTAAGTTTCTTGTACTGCACATTCATTACTATTGAGTTATTACTGGGAGATCTCAGAATGTGCTGCTTATGAATTAGAGTGGGGTGTGGGGGTGTTTATGGTTGTCATGCAAAATCTACATTTACTGCAGAAGACGTTTTTAGGATGTTAGTCAGTTATTTAATTTACTGCCTTTCCACAGGGGGCACTGTCTGTTTCCAGTGCATCCCTTCCCACCCTGGCGAGTGTGGGGGATCCCTCTACCAGCCCTCTTGGGGCCACGGACTCGACAGTGGATTCCGAAGATGAGGAGGATGATGAGGAAGGGGACGACTCAGACCTGGATGACTGGGAGCCAGCCCCCCTCCAGCCATTTAACCCCCAGACGCTCTGTACGTCTGTCTCTCTGCAGTGACCGGGAGAACCTGGTTTTGCCGAGTTCAAGGTGTCCACGGGTCATAAGGGGAGGGGCCTGCATTCTTTAACCAATCACAGTCGTCATTATATGACATCACCACATTTGTTCATTTTTTTTCTCATTTTCAAACTCATGGCTTCCAGCCATGCTTCTGTGCTTGTGATCGTAAGGTTGCTGGTTCAAGGCTCGTTATTATTGTTGTTATTTTTGTTATCAATATTGTTATCGTGAAATAGACGCACCTCTGTACGGCCTTTGCAGGTGAGCATACTTTACAGGTACTTTACAAATCTGTGCACCTTGCTGCTTAACATTAAACCCTAGTTTTAATGCAATTATGCCACACGATGAAGACGTTGATTGGTTAAAGGAGTGAAACGCGAGCCCCTCCCTCGTTGACAGGGACATTTCGAACTCTGCAGTATCAGGATATGCCAGTAACCACATGACCGTGACATCATCCGGTGGCCTGTGGAATGCTATGAGTAGAAATTGAAACAGTATGCTAAGGGAAATGCTCCCCCCCCCCACAGGGTGTGAGGAATGTAATAATGCCAACCCCTCAGTGTGCCTGAAACACGGGCCACTGCACCCCATCGCCAACCGGCCTGTGCTGTCCAAGGCCCGGGCCAGCCTGCCGCTGGTCCTCTACGTGGATCGCTTCCAGGGTGGAGTTTACTCCAAGCGTCGCATCCCCAAGCGCACACAGTTTGGTCCTGTGGAAGGCCCCCTGGTCCGGCAGAGCGAGCTGCAGGATGGGTACATCCACCTCAAGGCAAGTCACCGTGTCTCAGTGTGGATGCTGTTGGACAGAACTGTGCACCTCCATGGCTCATGGGTTTGTGTTGAGGGACGTGCAGTTGTACCCTTGGTGAAAGTTTGGGGTTGTTTGTTAGCTGGTGCCAGAGGTGTAAATTTCAGTTCCAGAAAGTAAAAATCCAGACCAAGATTTTGTTTCAGCCAGCCATTTGAGTACTCTGTGACTGTAACTCTTTATACTCAGCTGGTTGGTTGAAAACCTTGGTCTGGATTTGAACTTTCTGCACTTGAAATGTCTACCTCTGGCTGCTGCAGCAGTCCCATCAAAGTGCTCTGCGCATGATCGCCCCCTGCAGGTCTGCATGTTGGACCTGGCCAAAGATGGAGAGAAGAAGGAGGACTTGTGGCTGGATCTCTCAGACGAGGAGCTCTGCAACTGGCTGATGTTTGTCAGGCCCGCGCAGAACCACTTGGAGCAGAACCTGGTCGCCTACCAGTATGGGCCAGATATCTTCTACACCACCATCAAGAACATCCAGCCCAAGCAGGAGCTCAAGGTGCGCCCAGCAGGCTCCCACCACATCAGTGCTGTTGGGCAGCATTGATAGTAAGTTACTGTAACTAACCTACTAACTTGGTGTTTCTTCTCTGGTGCAGGTGTGGTATGCAGCATCGTATGCAGAGTTTGTCAACCAGAAGATCTACAATGTTACAGATGAAGAGAGGAAAGGTGCTTATAGCAAGCATGGGGGAAATGGCTGGATTTGCATTAGCAAGTGCCCCTGTGTGACCCCCCTCCCCCCATTTCTGTGCCCCCCAGTCTTGAGGGAGCAGGAGAAGAACTGGCCGTGTTACGAGTGTAACCGCCGCTTCATGAGTTCTGAGCAGCTCCAGCAGCACCTGAACATGCATGATGACAAGCTGGACTTCGTCAGCCGGTGAGACAAAAACACAAATGTTAGAAGTAAAAACCTCACATCATGTGACATCAAGTTAAAATAAGCAAAGGGGTTCAAGGACTCAAAAGCTTTGCTGTCATCTACAAGTAGAATAAGCGACATGCTTGTGCTCCTTCCTGTGAGAGAAGCCTTCAAGGCTGAATTTGCCTGGTCTGACTCGCCCATGCCTCCCCTTCCCCTGAGCAGGGCGCGGGGCCGCAGTCGTGGCCGGGGACGGAGGCGCTTTGGGACGGGCCGCCGGCCAGGGAGGCCGCCAAAGTTCATCCGGCTGGACACCCCTGCAGAGAGCAGTGAGGACAAGACCAAGGTACCGTCCTGTTACAGCAGAATCTCAGTACCTGTGTGAGCATTCATGTGTGTGTGTGTGTGTGTGTGTGTGTGTGTGTGTGTGTGTGTGTGTGTGTGTGTGTGTGTGTGTGTGTGTGTGTGCGCGCGCCCTTTTAGACGGCAGGCTGTCACTGGCCATTTGTCCTGCAGGAGATGCTGGCCTTTGCAGGGAAGGGGGCTTTTGCAGATGCGGTGGAGGGGGCCTTGAATGGGCTGAAGGGGGTGGAGCTGGGGGCGCAGGGTGCGGCCTTGGGCCAGATGGACGCCCAGACGACGCTATCGGAAATGCCCCCCGGTGCAGAGCCTGCCGCAGACGCGCCCCCCCCACCCTCTGGCGCCGACGCCACCTCCGAGCCTACCAAGGATGACTCATCCCTCGGAGGCCAGCTGGACCCCCACCTGACACCGCAGGACATGCGACGGGCCAAGCGGATTCGGGTAAGGCACGCGCCCCCTGCAGGCCAGTCTGTCCTGCTGCTCTGCACTGTGTTACGTTGACTGCAGTGTGTGTGTCTCTCTTTCCCGCTGCGCCTTCATGCAAAGATGGATTTACAGGTAGGTAACCTGTAGGGGGTACGGTTGGATCTGTGCCACCATTGCTCATTAGTGCGCTGAAACAGACAGGAGACTTAACCGCCCCAACAACAACTCCCACTTCATTTTAGACACTTGCCAAGTAGCTTAATGTTTCTGGCTTTCCTGGGTGGGGTGACTGGCCCCTCTCTCTGGGTGCCCCGGTAACGCCGCCTGCCCTTGTCCCGACAGAATGCTGCCCTTCAGCACCTCTTCATCCGAAAGAGTTTCCGGCCCTTCAGGTGTTCTCGGTGTGGCAAAGCCTTCCGGGATAAGGACAAGTTAGACCAGCACTTCCGGTACCACGGCCGCGACGGCAGCTGCCCGCTCACCTGCCACACGTGCAACAAAGGCTTCCTCAGCAGCGCCGCCCTGGAGGAGCACCTGCACCTCCACGCCGAGCAGAGGACCTACTCCTGCCTGTTCTGCACAGATTCCTTCGACCGGCTGGACCTGCTCAAAGAGCATGTGGGGATTCACCTGGTGGACGGCTGCTTCTCCTGCCCGTCCTGCAAGAAGACCTTCACGGACTTCATCCAGGTCCGACTCCCTGGTATTGAGGGCTGTGTGTGTAGGGGCTTTTTTCTTTCTTTTGGACATTTTGGTTCTATGTTGCCCCCTGCAGGTGAAGAAACATGTGCGCAGCTTCCACTCAGAAAAGGTCTTCCAGTGTACAGAGTGTGAGAAGGCCTTCTGCCGGCCCGACAAGCTACGCCTCCACATGCTCCGTCACTCGGACCGGAAGGACTTCCTGTGCTCCACCTGCGGCAAGCAGTTCAAGGTGGGGCTGGGACCTGGGTCGCGGTTCCCTGCATTTCTCAGGGTCTGATCGCAAACTCGTAACGACGGGCCATCTCCCGCCAGCGGAAGGACAAGCTGCGGGAGCACATGCAGCGCATGCACAACCCAGAGCGCGAGGCCAAGAAGGCGGACCGCATCCACCGCTCCAAGACGCTGAAGCAGAAGGTACCCACCACAGACTTCGAGAGCTTCATGTTCAAGTGCAGGCTGTGCATGATGGGATTTCGGCGCCGTGGCATGCTGGTAAGTGGCCCCCAGGGCACCGCTGCTGCCGTGCTAGGTGGTGATCTTGGCACTGCCTTTTGTCACGGTATCCCGTGTCCTCGCAGGTCAACCACCTGTCCAAACGGCACCCGGAGATGCGGATCGACGAGGTGCCGGAACTCACGCTTCCCATCATCAAGCCCAACAGGGACTACTTCTGCCAGTACTGTGACAAGGTCCTCGCCACCCCGCCTACACACACCCTCATTGGTTCCTCACACAAGAAGCCCCGCCCACTAGATGAAGCACATGTCAATTTGTGGCCAATGGCCTCTTAGGACCTAGAAGGTGGTGCCTATAGCATTTGTGGACACACCCCCGGGCCCTGTGGACATGCTCACCGCTTTCTCCATTGCTCCCCCAACAGGTGTATAAGAGCGCCAGCAAGCGGAAGGCGCACATTTTGAAGAACCACCCGGGGGCTGAGCTCCCCCCCAGCATCCGCAAGCTGCGGCCGGCCGGTCCCGGGGAGCCCGACCCCATGATCAGCACCCACACCCAGCTGACAGGAACCATTGCCACGGCGCCTGTCTGCTGTCCTCACTGCGCCAAGCAGTACAGCAGCAAGGTAGCACCCCCCCCCGCCCCTGTGAGCCCCCCGCGGCCTGCCGTGCCTCATCTGATCCCCGTCCGACCCGTCCTGTGTTCCCACAGACCAAGATGGTACAGCACATCCGGAAGAAGCACCCGGAATTTGCGCAACTCGCCAACACGGTCCAGGCGCCCCTGGCCACCACTGTGATCAGCAGCACGCCGGCCGTCATCGCCGACGGGGCCACTGCGGAGGCCGTGGTGGTAAGCGAGGCCCCATCGCTTGCTGGAGCTCGCCCACACGTGTCCTTCCTGACGACCCCCTCTCCCACCAGACCACCGACCTCCTGACCCAGGCCATGACGGAGCTGTCCCAGACGCTGACCACAGACTACCGCACGGCCCAGGGCGATTACCAACGCATCCAATACATCCCAGTGTCGCAGGCGGGGGGCGGACTGGGCCAGCCGCAGCACATTCAGCTGCAGGTCGTCCAGGTGGCGCAGGTAGGACCTGCCCATCTCTTTCTGTCCAGTATAAGCTGATTGGCTCCCTGCTGTCTCCATCCTACCCCACCATACACCGATTGGCTCCCTGCGGTCCTGGGCCTGCCTCGGAGCATGCTGATTGGCTCGCCACTCTTCCAGTTCTACCCCTGCTTATGTTCATTGGCTCCCCGTTGTGTCTGCAGGCCTCATCCCCCCATTCCCAGCATTCCACGGTGGATGTTAGCCAGCTACACGACCCCCACAGCTACAGCCAGCACTCCATCCAGGTGCAGCACGTGCAGGTTGCCGAGCCGGCGGCCCAGGTGAGTCTGCGTTCCCCCACCCACCTCCCGGCAGCTTGTGCGCATGGGGGGGAGGGGGGAATTTCCCGGCGAGACTCAGGGCGGAATCTGCGTGTCGTCCTCACAGGTGGCTGGTCAGCCGCTGAGTCCTTCGTCCCAGCAGGCGGCCCAGGAGCTGAGCCCAGCCCAGCTGACCCCCGTGACCCTCGCTCAGAGCCACGCCTTGCAGACGTCGTCCTCCCAACAGCAGGGGGCAGTGCAGCATGCCTACCTACCCGGAAACTGGAACTACAGGGGTTACTGTGAGTGTGGTTCTTCTTGATGAGTGTTGGACAGCGCTGTGCTTGGACTCCATCTAATAAGAACCCCCTCCCACCCCAGCTTCAGAGATCCAGATGATGGCGCTCCCCCACGCCCAGTACGTGATCGCGGAGGCAGGAACTCCAGTCACGGCCGTAAACACAGGCCAGGTCAAAACGGTAAGCTGTTGGGGGCTCGATTGCAGTGACCCCTTCAGGGACTCGGGGTTACTGGAGGATAAAGCCAGTGAACCTCCAGCTGTATGAAGAGGTTTTGGTGATTGCGGGGGCCGTAAAAGCTGTGCTGACCCGCATTGACCCGTGGCCCTCCCCCACAGACCCACTACGTCATCTCGGAGGGGCAGACGGAGCTGGACTCCAAGCAGGCCGGCGTTGGTGCGAGTGTCACCCCGGTACAGACCGAGCAGCTGGAGCAGCAGCCGGCCACCACGCAGTACATCATCACCACCACCACCAATGGTGGGGGCGCCAGCGAGGTCCACATCGCCAAGCCGTGATGATTTATGGACCACACGCTGCCCCCCCCCGACTGGCGAGGGGGGGGCCTGACCCGCCTTGGACACTGTCCGCCAGATGCCAAATTTGCTCGTGAAGCTGAGAGGAGACATTGCAGGTTTTATTTTCGGTTTCAGAGGCGTCTGTAACCACCTGCCACCAGCCAGTTTTTGCAGGGGGCCTTCGAGGAGCAGCGGCCCGTCCCCCATTACCCCCCCCCCCCAAGTTTGTCCGAAGCCTCATTTCGACCTGCAGTCTCACTTGGCTGTATTTCAGGCCTAAGTCAGACGTTAAAGCACCTTAAGGCAAAGGAAGCGGGGCAGAGGGTCACGTGACCGAGACGCCGTTCACGGGGCGGTAAGAAGACTCTATGGAACGCAGGATTGCCAGCTGCTCTGGGAAGCCTGGTTTTTCCGGAACAGCCGACCAGCCCCTTTGTGTTAATGTCGCATTCCTCACTCAATTTTACTTTTGATCATGTTTTCACTGCATTCAGAAAACCTGTCTCTCCTCTTCAGTGTCGTTGGAGCAGAAGATGGAAAAAGGCTAGTGTTACATACTTCATACCTGACGCCTTCGTGCTCCGCCCACTGCGACCCCTAAGAAGTATTAACTGGAAATAAGCTTGAATCGGGAAGGAAGAACTAGTGATTTCTGACCTAATTTTTTTTTTTTCCTCAGCCCCATTACCCACAATGGCCTGTTTCATTACATGGCTGAACGCATCTACTGAAAGCCAAAAATAGACCGTAACTGATCAAAGTCAGACCGTCTGTGAAAACATGGTCAGTGGAGGATTGGGATTGACCGTGTGACTCTGCCTTTTAAGGTGCACTGTGAGACCCCTTTTGCAGTCTGAGCAGACTCTAAAGTCCCGTTTGCGGTTCTGTCTCGATGGTTATAACCCCACTGACTCCCAGCCCCTAATCCCAAGGGGCCGTCACCCTTCTCAGTATGTTGTGTACTTTCAGCTGTGGCTTTCAGCATCCGGGGGCACAGAAGAAAGTCCTTTCCCATATTTATTTTTCCAATTTTCAGAGCATACTCTCCGGATAAACTTGTACAATGTATAAAAAAAAAGAAGTATTATTAAGAAGAGATTAGTTTCCTTTGCTGTACAGAGATTCCCATTGTTTCAAGTAAAGCTGTCCTGTTGTCATTAGTGTTGGAAAATTAAAGAAATCGTTTTATATCCTGCCTCCATTTCCTTTGCTGTTAATAGTTATCAGTAAAGGCAAGCTGAGATGTTTACTCTTCACACTGTGGAGATATGACAGACCTCTGAACTTAAATACAGAATTTATGAAGTGCAATTCTGGCTTTGTTGTGTTTGAGGTCAAAACCATTCTGAAGCTGGTGGGGCGGTCACTGTCACATGGTTCAGCTTACATCGTTTATCCGGTGGGTGGGGGCCCTAGAACCTCATTTAGTAGCAGGGGGTGGGCACCATCACCATGAAATACTCAGCGGGAGACTCCCTCAGCCTGGGCGTCACGTCGGCGATTCCAGGACAACGTGTCACGGGGAGGCCTGGCTGACATTCCAGCACGCGCCTTCAGCCACGGGCGTGGCCTGGCACCAAGCAAACAACCAGTCCTGCATTCCTCAATTAGCCGGCAGGATGGCGCGGAGGGCGCGCTGAAGCCTCAGGCGGAGAACCAGTCGCGCGGCGTCCCGAGACCCGGCACCTCAGCGGGGTAAGGTCAGCACCAAGCCAGCGCCCAGCAGCCTGCAGGACCGGGTTGGCACGGCATCCGGCACCCGGAGTAGAGACACAGGATGACGTGAGTGTGCCAGGCTTTGACTGACAGGAGGTGGGCCCTGGGGCCTCCTAATCAGCCCAATCAGGTTCAGGTGTTTGGGTTTGTTCCCAGCTGTAGCGAATCAGCTCTCGGTAGCGGCCGTGGCAGGACTTATTTAGCCAGCTGCTGTGGGTTATTACACTGGGCTGAGGGACGGGTGAGCCTATGGCGTGCAACGGGGGCTTATTCACCGATGCGTGCGACTCGTTCCACAAATCTGTACACACAATACACGGTATTGTCGCTCTCGTGAAGTCGGAGTGAGTAGACTTCTCCTTTCGGGGCTTATGCTGTCGGTTACTCTGTTTTGGCCGGTCTGACATGTCTGTCAGACCGGGAAAGACCCGAACACCGTCTCTCTGCCTTTGGGCATGTGGCTGCCCTGGGGTTTGTGTATGTATGTGTGTTTAAGTAGGTATGTATTTACTATATTGGGGGGAGCAGATAACCCAACCATGTGGTAAAACCTGTTACCTTTTAGCTTGTGGGGACAATTTTCAGGTCGCCACAATATAACCCTCAATTTGATAAAAATTTGTGACTGCGATCAAAACTAAAATTGTCTTGTATTTTGTTTGGTTACTTATGGTTAAGGTTGGGGCTGGGTAGGGGTTAAGGTGGTCATGGTTGGGATTAGGGTTATGCCCGTAGAAATTAATGGATGGTCCCCACAAAGTTAGGAATAAATGACCTGTGAGTGTGAGATACAAAGTGCCTTCCCTCTTGTGTTAGTTCCACACAGCAGCTGTGTCAGCGATGGAGCACCGTTCTCCTGGTAGGTGTCATGTGGGCAGTCTGCCACAGGGAGGCACCCTTGTTCCCATCCCTCAGCCTCTCCCAGGTGTGTGAGAGGCTCCTGCTGGCTGCGGGGCTGTGGACCGGCTTGGGGTTGTGCATCTTCAGTTTCAGGACTCTGCTTCACTACCACAAGCAAGTAAGTCCGCAGGGGAGGTGGCAGGGTCACAAATTTGAGTTTCAAAGGGGGGACTTATGCCCCCCCCCCCCCATGTCATTTCACCTGCATAGCTTTGGTTTAGACAATACGGTACTTTTATGAAGGAGGGGTAAGTGGGTCTCCTCTCTGCTTTGACCTGCTCCCTCTGCTCTTCTCGTCTCCTACCCAGCAGGGGATGCACCTCCTGCAGCCAGAGGAGGCTGTGGAGAGGAGCGAGGCACGTCCCCAGGCCTGGTAAGCTGCCGGCAATCGCCGTGGTGATCCCTCTGTACTTCTCCGAAGCCAGGGCCCTCATCCAGCGAGAGCTTGACGTTCTCAGCCCCGTTATTGTTAATTTTGCCTCTCCTCCAATTAACTATATTTGATCACATTCTGTGACACGAGCTGCCTCACGCCGGCCTCTTTGTCCATCCTCTAATTAGAATTTAATGTGGACTTAATAATGGGGAAAGTGGGTTACTGAGAACAGCCAAAATCCAGAATCCGTAAAAGCAAGAGACCTAAAGGAGTGCTTCGTGTGGGGCAGTTCGCTGGAATGAGTTTAGTCATACGATCACCAGCTAGGCGAGTGTACTGCTCCACATGACCACTAGAGGGGGTACTGCTGCAGACAAAGATTCAGGCAGCACTACAATAATCAGAATCAAAACACGTCTATTATCCTGTAGGAAGTTGTTAGTAGTTACAGACTGCGTAGTTTACAGGTACACGAAAAACCAAAAATAGAAATACGCAATGCCACATCCAACAATTTCCATATACAGAGAAGTAAATGTGTGAAGATGGGTATAAATGAAGTGGGTCAGCATGACAATAGGTGCAGGACTGTGGTGATAAAATACAGATTTGCTGGTAATTGTCCACTCTAACAATGAAATGAAAGTGAATTAAAGGCATGTGCATTCTTTTATTTAGTGAGTATAATAAAAACACATGTATAACCTTTTAATAAATATATATTATATGTATACTTATAGTATGTTATACATAATTCATTTATATAGCACATTTCGAAAACAAGTTTATGAAATGCTTTACATGACAAACAAGAATACAGGAAGGATACAACACAAGAAAGCACAGAAAAAAAAATAAAAACAAGAATTCAAAAAATAAGTGCATAGATACTATCATAGATAGATAAGAGTACTTAGAATCAGGGACGTCAGAAGCATTTTGAATGTGGGGGACACACACTGATATAAAACTAATATTTTATGTTAAGTGGGGGGTCCAAACGAACAATTATGTAATGTGCACGTCCCCCTCAGATTTAATGGCGGCGACGCCCATGCTTAGAATGCAAAGACGTGAATTCAGCACAATAATAATAATTAAAAAAAAACTAAGGATAAGCAATATTTTAAAAAGGTGGTTTTTAAAGTATCCTTAAACGTGTCGAAAACATTCACCATAAATGTTGTGGAAGACAGGAGACAGACGGGAGCAAGAACAGGTAGATATTTAAAAACCGACGGAAAAACTTCGAAATCAATTCTGTACTGCGAAGGCAACCAGTCACGTGATGTAAGAACAGGACTGACATGGTCTGTCATGCGCGTGCGGGATAGGGCGCTGGCGGCCGCGTTCGGGACGCGTTGGAGGTCTGTAATAGTGCACTTAGGCAGTACAGGTAGAGGGGAGGTGCGTTAGTAAAGCCTTGAAGCAACAAATGTGTGAATGAGCTGCCAAATGAGGTGATACCTCAGACCTCTGAAATACTGCGCAGGCGATGATATGCAGTTTTAAATATATTACTGATGGTTGGTTTGTAAAGCTGAGGCTGCCATGAAAGATCACACCGAAACTCCATAACTTTTAGGCTTGATGAACAGGCAGTTTAAGCACTTCAGGGTGTCTCGCCCCTGGATGTTCTTACCAGTAATGATACCCTGACTATTTAACTGGAGAAACTTTTCATGCATCCATGTATCAATGTCGTCAATGCATTGTAGCAATATATACTTTTATTGTTTAATTTTAATATAAATAGTTTAAGCTTTGTTGGGATCACCCCCACATCTTCCTTTTTGACACCCCCCCCTGCCCCCCAGGACAGCCCCAGAGTCCAGCCCTGGCCTCAGTGTCTGTGAGACTCACGCCCTGCTCAGCTGCATGCTTGTGCTCCTCTGCTCCGAGTCGCTGCAGGACGGCAGTCTGGCGGCTGTGTTGGAGCAAGCTGACAGGCTGGAGGTCGGTCGCCGTGGCGATGCACCTGCTGGGTGCCGCTAGACATAATGTACATTTATAACTAATCACTAATGATTATAATCAGCGTTTTAATGACCTATAATGGCCATGACAGGCTGGCAGAAATGATAATATTGAAATAATGAGTCTCTCCTGCCTCCTGCCCTGTGATTCGTCAGATGGGCTCTGTGATCATCGTGACCCGCCCTTGATTCTGGAAAATGGGTCAGATGCATTTTTTTGTTGCTGCAGTTGTGTGGTGAGTGAAGCCCTCAGTCCAGTGTTTGTCCCTGCAGAGGGCTGCTCAGGCCCTCCAGAAGGGGGCAGTAGTCTTCCCTGCCCAGCCACAGGGGGGCAGGACGGGCCAGGAGGTGGAGACACCAGCCGAGAGACTGCAGAGAATCGGCAGCTACCTGGAGAGCAGGTGAATCCTCTGCTGAATGGCCTGTGAGCCACACCTCCTCTGGGTGGCCTGTAAGCTCCGCCTCCCATGGGCAGCCCATAAGCCCTGCCTCCCAGACGCTGACAGCCGCACTGTCCCCCCCCCAAACCTCAGGTCCCAGTCGTTGCGGACTCTGTTCCGGGCCCAGACCGTATATCAGAATGCCGCAGAGGAAGCCCTGAAAGGGCTGGGCTGCTGCTGGGACCGACTGGAGGAGATGCACGACTGCGTCACCGTGCCGACGGCGATGAAGGAGCGGGTGAACCCAGAGGGGGCTCTGCGAGAGGTGGAGGTGAGCCACACTGGCCCGTTTGCGGGGGGCGGGGGGGGAGTGCTTTGTCATGCATGCCTGCATCTCCCTGGCAGAGTCTGTCGGCGGAGCTGGTGAAGCAGGAGGATCGTCTGCGGATCTGTAAGGCACGTGCCAAGGACAGCTGTCACCTTCTGCAGGTGAGGCCCAGAGGCCAAACGAGCCAACTGTCTCGGAGCACACTCACCCTCACCAGTGTGCCCCTCCTCGGCCCACAGGAGCTGAGTCACAGCCAGCGGGGGCTGCAGGACCAGTCTGGAACCAGGCCCATGCCCCTGTGGACCGACAAGCTGATCCAGTCCAATGAAATGCAGGTAGGCAGCCCGCTACCCAGAATCCCCTCTGGCAGAGCTGCCTTTCGACTGTGCCAGCCCCGGCTGCGGTGAGGAGATATCGACCAATCCTTTCCCGCCCGCAGCTTGCAGAGCTCCGCAGCAAGTTCGTGTCCCTGGAGCACCTCATGATTTGCCTCCGGACTCACCTGGAAGGTCTGCGGGACGGCGTGGTGCTGAACGGGGCCGCGTGCTTCCTGGGCCATGCCCGGCCGCTGCCGCCCCCCAGCCCGCCAGCGTCTCCACGCTCCTGCGCCTCCTGCTTGTGCTGCCCCCTGTGGTGAAGATGACCCTTCACTCCTTGTACATTGTCCTTTATCCTCCTGGAGAGGGAAGTTTTATTTATTTTGTATAAAATGTTTCAATAACTATATAATCAAGTTCAATAAATATTTTTTTCAATTATTCTTAGTGTGCAACCTATAAACCAAAAAAGAAAAAAAAACTGGAATCTTAAGGTATTGCAGTGAAAAATTGTGCTTTGTAATGTGGAGTTTTAGCCACCAGGGGGTGCATTTATACTAAAAGTGATAAGAAAATCCCTCTTGTCAGGTAATAGAGGGAGCTGTATTCTGTGATTGTATCTCTATTCCATATGTACAGTGCTGCGTAACTCAGAGCTGCCTGACAGATCCCCACACCCCCATCAGACGTCTCACTCTGAGGGGAGGGGGATCTCCTGAGAGATCCCAGTACCTGCTAATGCACATCTCACTATTTGGGGGGGGAATCTCCTGACAGATCACCACACCCCCATCAGACGTCTCACTCTGAGGGGGGGATATCCACGTTGCATCCCCCCCCCTTGTCTGCACTGCCTGCGCATGGCCCTGCTCTGCTCTGATCCCGGGTGGGAGCTTTCCCCTCCCCCCCTGCATTAGCTCCTTAATTCCTGCAGGCCTTGGGTAGGGGGAGGGTGGGGAGAGAGAGGGCGGGGAAGGGTCACGGAGTGAAAAGTATCTGCTATCACTGAAACCTGCAGAACGGCTGAAGATTTTGGAGCTGAAATACCATGAGCACGGAGTCCAGGCATCCCAGACGATCCATTTGCTTATTTTTATATTCGGTTATGCAAGCTTTGCACCTAATTATGCACCCTGTGCCGAGAGCCTAATGATCGGGGGGCTTGCCTGCGTCTGCGCCTGCGTCTGCGCCTGCGCCTGTGTCTGCGCCTGCGCCTGCTGCAACTGCCCTCCATAAACTCTGAATGAGGAGGCAGACCCCCAAAGATGGTGGACGAGGGTATGTCATCCACGCCGCGCCTCGACGGACCCCTGCTCGCACTGGGATGTCAGACATCAGATCTCAGGCCCTCTAATTAAAACCCAACTTTGGGAGCTGCACCTGCCACTGGGCATCAGCCGGGGGGGGGGGGGTGTATGAGTGGAATGTGGGGGTGCAGTCGCGTTCTCATCTGTATGGAGTGGAGAAGGGGGATCGGGATCTGTGGGACAGCAAGACAAACTAGCTAAAAGTGCCTGACAGTTGCCCAAGTTAAGGCTGAACATCTGATTGGACAGTTATGGGGAGACTAAATAGGCTCATGTTAAGCAGAGAGCAGGGGCTTCTGGGACAGCGATGTGCAGAGCTTGAAGGCGTGAGACACAGCCACACGCCAGCAGGAGCAGGCTGGACCTCCAGGGGGCAGCACTGTGCCTGCTTTCCTGTGTGCTTCAGTGTGATGAAGAGACAGCTCCAGCTTTATTGCACCTTCATTAACACTCTAGGGGTCACGTGCTTAGTCACTGAACCCTCTGCATCCACATCATCAACTTGAGGGCTTGTTAATTCTGTCTTCTGACCAAAATGCACCATCTCCTGCTTCATGTGCCCCTTCCCCTTGCCCTTTCTGTGCCAACCCCCGCCCCGACCGTGCTTGACCATGCTTTTCTGCTCTCCAGTTTCTGCCCCTAACCCCCCACATGGTTTGCTGTCTGATTGTCTGATTGGGCGTGTTCTGCATGTAACCCCCCTGGTGTCAAACTGAGTCACCCTGTGCCGCAGGGGCTGGCCACATTTCTCATGCGGCGTCCCTTAAATTGTCAGCCGACCGTCAGACAATAAACAGCCGCAGAGGAAGATGATGCAATCAACCCTCAAGCCTGGCGCAGGAAGAGACCGTGTCACGTGACAGGGGTGTGAGCTCGGGACCACGTTCGGAGCGGGGCTGCCATGTTGAGACCTGACACCCCTCCCTCTGAAATATCCATAAAAGGCCCATGTTGCCGTCGAAAGTGCCTGGCTGACCTTTGACCTATGACCTATGACCTATGATTGAAGAATCGATCGGATGAGGCTGTGGGTCACCCTGTCACAACCATGGCGCGCGTGCGGCACGGCGGACAGCGGGCACTGTGCACATACTGCGCCATTTCGAAGCACCCGGTGTAATTCTGCGGCTATGTGTGTGTGTTCACGTGTCTGTCCACCGTCCGTGTGTGTGTGTGTGTGGGGGGGGGGGCACACGCCGCCCGGTCACGCTGATTTAGTTTTACAAGCTATGGCTTCTCTTCTCCCCCCAGCTGACGGATTATTAAATAAACAGAGCCAAGTGGCTTCAGGCCGGCCAGAGAAACTTACGGCCCCAAAAAGCTCTGCACTCCTAACACGGAACCCCCCTTCCCTGGGGCCCCCGACCTGGCCCTGCTCTGTCAGGGGGTGGGGGTGGGGGGGCTGGAGGGAAGACTCCATCTCTGACTCGGCAGGGGTGTGGGAGGGGGTACTGTGGGGAAATGTGTGTGGGGGTTTATGGCTACGTTGTAAAAATCAGTAACAGCTGTGGCCAGAGGTGAGGGGGGGGGGGGGGGGGGGGGGGGGGGGGGGGGGCTGTGATCCTCACCCTGTCTTACTCCAGCTTCTTTCATGTGGGCCAGATGTGGCCTTCAGACACAGAGCGGCCTGCAGCATCCTGCTTCTGATCCCAGAACATCCTGCCTTCTGGCCCAGGAATTCAGCTGGATCTCTGTGGAGGTCAGGAGGACCAGCTGCCTTCACAGTGTATGGGTGGAGTTACAGGCTATGGTCACTGTGTGTGGGTGGAGTTACAGGCTATGGTCACTGTGTGTGGGTGGAGTTACAGGCTATGGTCACTGTGTGTGGGTGGAGTTACAGGCTATGGTCACTGTGTTTGGGTCACATGCTGCGGGCACCAGGTTTTAATGGGCCCACAGGCTCCCCCTTCTGGCTCTCCAGAGACACAGGCCGAGTCGGAGAGCCATGCAGACGGCCTTGCTTCTTTGGTAGTGACACTGGAGGAAAAAAGGTAGGAATGGCGGGATCCTTCAACCTCACGCTGGTAGCTTTCCTGAGGAAGAGTGAGAGAGGGCAGAGGAAGATGGGGGGGCAGGCTCCAGGTGGGTGGTCCAGAATCCTGAGTCCTTTTCGAATGGGCCGCCTGGATCCGGGCAGCGATAAGTGGGGGTGGGGGGGGTTGGTGGGCCTGGAGCCCAGTTCTGCCAAAGTGCTGGACCCCCTGGCCGCTGACAAGCTCTCCACTGGGGTCTCTGTGAGGAGAATTAGGGTGTCACATGTCTGGTGTGATGAGGATCCACGGACACCCCTGTTAGGGGACAATGATGCCCCCAGCATGCGTAATCAGACTCAGTGTGTGTGTGTGTGTGTGTGTATGTGTGTGTGTGCGTGTGTATGCGAGCGGGTATACTTTAACTTATACGGTCCCCGCAACGTGATGAATGCCTGTTTTTTTCCCTTATGGGGACCCCCCCCCATGTTGGAATCCTATTATTGGGGGGAGGGGCTTAGCAAGCTGTCACCATGTGGTGAGGAGCACTTTCCCCAGGGCTGCCTATTCACACAGCACGTCTTGGGGGGGGGGGGTACCCCCCCAGTCCAGGTGTAGCCATGACCCCAAGCAGTATCTGACCCATGTGACCTGGGCTGGGACACTCCCCCCCTCCCCCCACCCCCCGGCTAAATGTCTTGCATTCTTCAGCTTGTCTCCATTTCGACCTGAATCTTCTGGCATTGGGCTGCTTCCCTGGTGGATTCATGTGCATGACCAGTAGGGGGCGTCACTGGGGATAAATGGAAACAGGAAGGAGAGGAACAGCTGGGCAGAAGGGCTTGTGTAAAATGGCTCCCTGTTCCTGTGTTTCAGGGCTGTGTGGAGATACAGGGGACCCCTATTAAGTGAGGAGCACCTGGTGCACTAACCCTGTTCCATGCAGAATTCTGGTGGACCTACTCATATCAAACGCTCCCTGGATTCACGTTCCTGATTCATGTACAGCTATGGAATATATTTACGACCCCCCCACCCCCAAATGTGCAATGGGGCTGCTCCGTGTAAGCCATCCCATAATCGTAGCTTTGCCCTTTAAGTCTTGGGCTGTGGTCCGTCGTAATCCTTCTCATGTGAGCAGCACGGCTGCTGAGAGTGTTCCCATGTGACCCTCAGCACACGCCCCCCCCGTCCTTTCAGTGTAATGGTACAGTCCGTGCCCCTTGACACAGGTGGGATACAGGTGGGGTGAAGTGCCTCAGCGAAGCGTAGAAATGAGACCCCGGAGACAGCCAATCGCCTTCGCCCTCTCCTGCGTGCGTCTCCTCCGTCCCTGAATAGAAATGTGTGTAACAGACGTGTTTTGGGCCACGGCGGAGTCTCTGTGCCCTTCGCTCGAAGGCCACCGATGCTTTTCTCATTTGCTCAGTGCGATCCGCCCACCGTGACGTCCGTCTTGAGGGAGGGCAGCCTCCCGCCACTGTCGTTTCCTCGGAGACGTCAAAGTGAGGAGGAAGCGGTTGATGATGCCAGAGGGCCCCGTCACGCTCTGTCACGCTACTCCGACTGGTATACGCTCCGTTCTTCCTGCCCAGATAAACATGATATATACCACATTCGCTGCAGGTCAGACCCGAATGGTCTCCCAGGGTAACCTGCACGTGGCTTCGCCTCCAGATAGAGCCGTAATCGACGTGAACGTCCAAGAGTGAGGGAGGCCCCCACAGCTGTCATGGGGCAGGGCACCCTGGGAAGCCAGGGAGGCTCTCTCATTGCCAACAACCAGATTTAGCAAACTGTTTAATCTATTTCCACAGGACAAAATCATACAGTGAATTTGTGACTGTTTAGGACTATATTTAACTGAGTAGTATTTAGAAAGTGATCTGTGACATAAGAAGTGTTTTCACAAAATAAATAATTTGAAAGTGATATACTGCTATGCAAAACACATGCAAAACAGTAACTGCATATTTTATCAAAATGGAGTTATGACTGAAATTGAGGCTCTTAGGCTTAGTTTTATCTCGAGACAAAGTATCTTAGTTCAGCCATGTTCGGTTTTGAAGAAAACAACATAATTTACTGCACATACGGGCGCACAGTCAAAAAACTGTGTAACTACAGTGCATAGTTACTGTGTTTTGCCAATGTGGGGCAGC